ATTCTCAGTGAAGGATTTTCCAGTTATTTACAATCTTAGAAGTGTACTTTATTAGCAAAAACACAACATGTAAATTCTAGATTTTGTAGTTTTATCTAGAATTTGTCTCATAACCCGTATCCAGAGTCCAAACTAATGGTTCTCTCTCTCTCTTTCCCTCACTTTAAATTTTACAGGAATATCCAGTAACATAATGCTATAGAAAATCAAGTTTCCCCCAGCATTTTGGGAGGCTGATGAGGTGGGTCGATCACCTGAGATCTGAAGTTCGAGACCAGCCTGGCCAATATGGTGAAACATTGTTTCTACTAAAGAAAAAAAAAAAAAAATAGCCAGGCATGGTGGCGAGTGCCTGTAATCCCCGCTAGTTGGGAGACCAAGGCACAAAAATCGCTTGGACCTAGGAGGTAGAGGTGGCAGTGAGCCGAGATCGCACCACTGCACTCCCGCCTGGGTCAGAGAGGGAGAGTGTATCTCAAAAAAAAAAAAAAAAAAAAGGGAAAACCAATAGCCTTTATTTGAAATTAGCGGACTCAGGCTACCAAATTTTAAGGGGTTGCATAAAGTTACATAAACTGCAGCATCCTCACGAGAGTGGACACAGCCAGTGAGCAGAAAACAGTGTCTAAAATACATCCATGTACACACAGTCCCTTTAGAGGTGACAAAGACTGCCATGTGCTTTAAGGTGGTATAGACTGTCTTCTCAATAAATAACACTGGACCAAAGGGTTACTTCTCTGAAATATAAATGTAAATGTATTCTGACCTTATGAAAACACCACTTATTTTTCATCTTTTTGTAAATATTTTATGATTTATTTGTAAAATTGAAAAATAAAAATTATATACAGCCGTCCTTTACTCTTCTGGGTGACTGGTCCCAGGATCCTCACTCAGATGCCAAAATTGCAGATGCTCCAGCCTCTTACATGAAATCGCTTAGTGAGTGCAAGTAACCCTGCACATCCTCCTGTGTACGTCAGATCCTCTCTAGATGACTTACAATTCCTGACACAGGCTACGCACAGCTTCACTCAGGTCCATTCAACATAGTCTTGCTTTTTGGAATTTTGTGGATTTTTTTCTCTGAATATTTTTTGATTATAGTTGGTTTGATACACAGCTGTAAGCCCACAGATATGGAGGACCGACTGTACATTTATAGTCTGAAAGATGATGTTTCGATAAGTGTCCTCGTGGAGATGAGACTAACAAGGGCGATGACCCTGCAGATGTTTCGTCTTGGAATTACTCTGTGAGCTTTCCAGTTCTGCAGAGAGTAGGAATAGCACTCGTCCATCTGATTCACAATCCTCGGAACCTCCCCTGTGCTGCATCTTTAGATGGAAATTGGAGTCCCAGGGACACACCAGGCTCCACCTGCTTCCGGAAGCTCCCAGTCCAGGGGTGAGAACCCAGTGGAGAACATAGGGGGTTATGTGGACATAGTCATGATAACACCAAAAGTTCAGGCAAAAAAAGAGTCACATTACCTAACTCATGAGGGCAGATGTGTTTATTTGAAGAGAACTACATAAAAATTACAAATCAAAAGAGCTTAAAAATTTACTGATGACAGAAGGCTGCAAAATCCCTCAAAGTCTGAGGGAAGGTGGAACAGCATGAGGGAAGGTGGAACAGCACGTGTCTAAGTGCTGTGTTAAGAGGGAGCCTCCTGTATGTCTGGACTTGTGAGTTCCTCAGCGTGACTGCAGTCTCAGGTAGGACCAGGAAGTAAGCCAGATAGGTTGGAGAGGTGGGCAGGGGTCAAGGGAAATGGAGAATTGTGTGTTAAGCAAAGGAGTGTGTTTTCTGTCCAGCAGGCAGTGAGGACCACAGACATTTGTAAGCAAGAGAGAGCGACGTTCAGATTCACGGTATGGGGAAGAGCAATCCCCTAAGATGGAGACTGACGTCTTCAGGTCCCAGCTGCTGTTCGATTGGAGCTGGCAAGTGTATTGAGAAAGAGCTATTGTCTCCCTAGAGGAAACCTCAAGGCCTGTCTGTGGTGCTCATGGACAGAAGACAGCCATCCGGGCTCCGCATTTGGGAGTTCCCTGTACACACTGGTTTCTGTTGGGGGTCTTCTGGGTGTCTGAGAAGGGCGAGTGATTTTTCTCTGAGTGAAAACGCAGTGATCCAGCTGTGCGTATGTCACCTCCTGAGGGTCTTGTTCATCAAAGTCCTGGAGAGATGGAAATGTTGAGTGACAGAGGGGCTCACATTCTTCGGAACTATTAGGGAATAAGACTCCATGCCCGAGGCTGGGCCAAGGAGGACCTACCTCCCTGTTCACTGTTCTGTCCACCTGAGGCTCTTGGTCTTTTACTGCAGCATCTGTAGGAGACGGAAGTCATCAAAATAACTGGGAGGGCCCTTCTGGGTCCTCATTTCATGTGCAGACACCAACACACAGGGGGAGGCCATGGGTGCCTGAGGCCCCTCCGCTGCCAACAGCCAGATTTAGACGTTCTATGTGAGTACAAGAATCCCTCCCATGAATAGCTCACAATTCCCATCCCACTGATTCTGTCTCCTACTTTCTGCCTGTCCTTGAACACTCCCCTGGATGTCAGTGGCTTCAGGAGAGGTGAGGATACAGTTCAGAATCAGGCAAAGGTCTGTGAGCTGAGGGCAGGGGCAGGGTGTCTGGTGCTCTCTCTAGAAAGCCCTGCCTCTGCGGCTCCTGCCTTGGGCCAGGGACCATCCTGCCAGTGAAAAACACACACCTGCATGCTCCATCCTGCTTCCGCACATGGCCCTGAGGTCTCTGGACTCTGCTTTCTGAGACTTATTCTTTTGTGAGAGCACCAGAGATGAAGGAGAGAGAAGAGGAGCATGGTGAAGGGGATGATGACCACTGAGCACCGAATGAGAACGTGCAGGTGTCTGGGGAAACCTGGAGGAAGACGGGAATCCAGTAAGAAGCTGACCACAGCAGTTCCTCTTCCCGGATTGTCTCTCATCTCTTCATTGTCAGGTAACCACGTACATCGTCTCTTTAGGACAAGTCCCCTGATGACGGGGACCCAGCTTTCTCCTGCTTTTTCAGTTATAGTTCTCAAAATTATCAGAGAACGTGCTGGGATACTACTGCTATAGTTTGGAAGTTTGACCCCTCCAAAGCTCACGCTGAAATTTAACCCACAGTTTGGGAGGTTGGACCTATTGGGAGGTGCCTGTGTCATGGGGTGGAGCTGTCATGAATAGATTAATGCTGTCCCCACGAGGCAGGGTTAGGAAGTTCTCCCTCTATGAGTTCCTGGAGAGCTGGTTCTTAAAAAGAGCTTGGAAGCTGCATCACACACCCTTGCTCCCTCTCTTGCCATGTGATATCTGTGGTCTTGTACACGGAGACCCCCTTTCCCTTCTGCCAGGGTGGGAGCAGCCTGAGGTCATCACAAGGAGCAGATGGTGGGGCCATGTTTCTAGTACAGTCTGCATAACTGTGAGCCAAACAATTTCCTTTCCCTTAGAAGTTACCCAGGCTCAGGTGTTCTTTGATAGCAACGAAAATGGACTAACAGCCACGCCCTGAGATCAGGAGGAACATCCCAGAACAGCCTGGGCTCTCCACTTGCTCTTCTTAGAGGAGGGTGTGATGCAGTGCTTTAGCTCAGTGCCTCCTGTGGCTCCAGGGTGCAAAACCCAGGCGGGGCTGGTTTTTGGTTCCCCCAGCTACACTGCAAATGGGGTGACTCCGTGTGTCCTGGGCAGCTTTTCTGAGCCTTAGGGGATTGACTCACACTGAAAAGAAGGCTTCTGTTGTCATTTGCTGATTATCCATAAGTAATAAACTTGCTTTATGTAATTTATTGTGTGTATCTTCTGTCTTCCCGGAGCGACTGTAAGTGACAGAACTTGGCATAGCCCCACTGCATGTTTTCTCAGAAGGATGTCACATTCCCACTCATCCTTCTAGTCTAGAGGTCTCAGCTGCAGAAAATTAGAGATTAAGAGACTTCACTGAGCCTCGTGTTGGCCCCAGATCCCTTACACTGTTAGTGTCTGGGGTTCAGAGATGGTAGAAGATGGGCCCTCAATCATAGACCTGAGAGGTGCTGAGCCAACACTTGATTCCACGGCTTCCACCTACCCAGGTTTCCAAAAGCAGAGATAAGAGGGATCCTTTACTCACCAGTTTTGGAGCTTGGTTCAGTGGGTGAAGGCCAACTGCTTGAAGGGTTTCCTAGAACACGGGACAGGAGAGAGGTGTGGAAGTGAGGATGCCTGTCTTCTACTCAGTGGAAATCTGTGAGGTCGGTTCATGGCCAACACTCTGTTATCTAATGCTGGGCCTTGGGAGTCCTGGCATCCCCTTCTCCACAGTCATTGTACCTGATGCCCACTGTCCTGGGACTTTGAGGTATAAAGAGAAAACAGGAGCTGGAGGCGTCACACTCCCTGACCTAAAAATATGTTACAAAGCCGTAGTAAGCAAAACAGCACGATACTGTCATAAAGAAAGGCTCATAGAACAGTGGAGCAGAATGAAGAACACAGATATAATTCACACATTTACATCCAATCAACTTTGACGACTGTAGGCGCCAAGAACCTACAACCAGGAAGAGACAGTCTTTACAATGAGCGGTGCGGGGAAAACTGGGTATCCACATGAGGAGGGATGAAACCGCACCTCTGCCTCTCAGCACACACAAAAATCAAATGAAAGTGCATGAAAGACGGAAGGCCCAAACCCATACAACATCTAAAGGAAACACTGGGGAAATGCTCCAGGACTTTTGTCTGAGGAAAGACGTTTTGTTTAAAACCCCAAAAACACAAGAAATCAAAACAAAAATAGACCATCAGGATTCCACTGAACTAAGCAGCCTCTGCAATCACAAAGGAAGCAACTCATCGCAAAGTGAAGGGACGAGTCACAGGATGGGAATAAATATTTGCAAAGTGTTCATCGGAGAGGGGATTAGTAACGAAAATATGTAAGAAGCTCAAACACTTCAATTTAAAAAATTAGTAAATGTTCCAAACAGGTATTTCTTTTTTTATTATTATTATATGTTAAGTTCTCCCCACCCCCTGCTCTCCTTCCCTGAACAGATATTTTTAACGAACAAAACATACACGTGGCTCTCACATATATGAAAAAGTGCTCAGTATTACTAGTCATGCGAAGTGAAATCACAGTGAGCTATCTTCTCACCCAATTACAATGGCTTTTATCTGAAAGATGAACGAAAAGCAAATGCTGGAAAGGTGATAGAGAAAGAAGAACCCTTGTACACTGTTGATAGGAATGTAAATTAGTATAGCCATTACGAAGGAGAACATTATGGAAGTTCCTCAAAAAATGAAAAGTGGTCGGGCACGGTGGCTCACGCCTGTATTCCCAGCACGTTGGGAGGCCAAGGTGGGTGGATCACCTGAGGTCAGGAGTTGGAGACCATCCTGGCCAACATACTGAAACCCCATCTCTACTGAAAATACAGAAATTAGCCAGGCATGGTGGTGGACACTTGTTATCCCAGCTACTCAGGAGCCTGAGGCTGGAGGATTGCTTGAATCCTGGAGGTGGAGGTTGCAGTGAGCCCAGATGGTACCACTGCACTCCAGCCTGGGCAACAGGAGCAGAACCCCATCTTAAAATAAAGAAAAAAAAATTTTCCCGTTCTGTTGGTTGCTGGTTCACTCTAATGATAGTTTCTTTTGCTGTACAGAAGCTCTTAAGTTTAATTCGATCCCATTTGTCTCTTTTGGCTTTTGTTTGACAAAAGAACAGGAAACCAAACACTGCATGTTCTCACTCATAAGTGGGTGTTGAACAAGGAGAACACATGGACACAGGGAGGGGAGCATCACACACCAGGGTCTGTTGGGTGGTGGGGGGGCTAGAGAAGGGATAGCAGGGGGTGGGGAGATTGAGGAGGGATAATATTAGGAGAAATACCTAATGTAGATGATGAGGGATGGATCCAACCAATCACCATGGCATGTATATACCTATGTAAAAATCCTGCATGATCTGCACATGTACCCCAGAACTTAAAGTGTATATATATATATATATATATATATATATATATATACACACACACACACACACACACATACACATATATATATATAAAGAAACCTAACAAGAGAACTTCCACAGGATCTAGCATTCCACTACCGGGTGTAAACCCAAGGGAAAGGACATGAGTGTATCGACGTGACATGTGCACTCCCATGACTCTTCCAGCACGGTTCCCAGTAGCCAAGACGTGGTGTCAACCTACCTGCCCATCAGAGGATGAGTGGATGGAGAGAATGTAGTACATACGCACAATGGAGACCGCTCCTCCATAAAACAATAACATCCTGTCACTTCCAG